AAAGCTGTGGAATTCACATTTGGATTAGCCGGAGCAACAACCTCCCTATTAGCTTGGGTCGTCATGGCTTGGGCTTGAGTTTTCACGGCTTGAGCCAATATTTGGAGAGTCGACATTATTTCCACACTTGTCATAGCCCCCGTATCAATAGGAATTTGAGGAGGAGCTTATGGTGGAAGATGGAGAGTAACCTCTTGCTCCTCATCACCTTCCTAATCTCTCCTAGCATTTACCTTTGTATTAGCCATACCCTGTAAAACCATAGGGCACGGATTAGAAGAAGGACCTACTAGAGCCAAACTCTATGGCACGACTTAGAGAATGAAGAAGTGAGATTTCCTAAATATCTATTGGCCTACTATTCATAAATATGGCGTGCTTCACATTTATGAAGAAGACTCTACTAGATGTGGTTTAAGACAATCCTAGAACCATTCTAAACCTTGTACTCTGATACCATGTTTGTCACGACCCAAGGGTACACCCTAGGTGTAACATCGAATACTTGACCCCGAAGGGGTCTCATACAAGTCCTTAGTACATCATAACGTAAGATAATAGAAAAGTATAGAAATTTTAAAAAAACTTTTAACCATCAATCAAAAACATTTCATAAAAACAAGCGGAAGTCTTTACTACACTTTTGTCTCAAACCATCCAATACCACTTTAGAATAAAACTCTTGAGACAAATCTCATACAATAGTCTCAACAAGAAAATAAAAGACATAAAGGAAAATAGTGGGTTTGTCCTCAAAGCTATGAGGACTCGCCAAATCTTCACTCCTTTGCTCCTTGGAACCCTAACTTCAATATTGGAACTCAAATCTCTGAAACCCTACATTTGATTAGAATGTAGGCAAAGTATGTATTAGTACAAAATGTACTAAATATGTTAGCTAGCATAATAACATAAGAGCATATCATAAGGGTTAGTCAACATAAGACATAATCTAATACTTCATGAAACATCAACTATAGGCATAAGAAACAACATCATAATAATAAGCAAAGTCTCAAACATACACATCATATAAACTTTACTCAACTCTTAGTCATTCATATGATAAATGACTATTCTCAACTAACCTCAAGGCATACTTTTGCAATGCATGAATAGCACCCATAATACCATCCAAGCTAAGTACCCCTTTTTGGTCATCTTAATCATAGTCTATATGCATGGTCAATCTTATGCTTTAACTTTATAGGATTACTATACCCCTATGTAACCTCAAAGCACACTTGTGCAATGCATGAAGGGGATCCCATAATACCATTCACATTAAGCATAGCCTTGAAGTCAGCATATGCATACCTACCATTCACTTGATCTAATTCTTAGCTTTCTTCATTGAGGCAAGGGAATTATCACCTTAAGTCAATCTTATGATGGAAGGAAACTATAGCAACAATCCATAAAACATACATCATAAGAGAAAACTTTCTTGAATAACCCTAAGTCATATTTGTGCAATGCATGAATATCATCCTATAATACTATTCATGCTAAGTACCACTTTTAGGTCCTCCTACTAATACTTCTTGGTTTTGTACGTAGTCCCTCTCTTTAACTTTAGAACACTATCAGGTACTCCCTTAAGCACTTATTGGTGGTTAAAAGCTTAAAATATCTTATATAGGGGTTTTAAGACTAGGAGAAACGACCCCCACTTAAAACTAATTAAAAAGGAATTTCCTAAACTAACCCTCTCTAGGCAGCCCATTCCCAGGCACCACGAGAGGACCTCACAAGTCGTGGTCAAGAACACGAGCCGTGGTCCTGCCCGTGGTCCTTGGGGAAGTGGCTTGGGTTAATTGTCTTGGCCTCCACAAAGGTAAGGTATGACCACGAGACCTTCCACGATTCGTGGTCAAGACCACTAGTCGTGGTGATGGTCGTGGTCCATTATCTAGCAGCCTTGTCCCAAGGCCTTGCCTCCCACTATTCTATGGGGTCTTCACGAGACCTCCCACAATCCGTGGTCAAGACCACTAGTCATGAAGGTAGTCGTGAACAAGGGGGCAGTACCTTGCCAAGGTTGGGGCAGCCTTGGCCTTTAGCTTAGGCTTTGCCCCTTTGCCTTGGCACTTGCCCTTGTGACCCTCAACCAAATCTTAAATGGTCTTCTAAACTACGGGGTGTGACACAAGGCTTGACATTTACCCCTAAACCCCTCATTCTAAGTACGGGAAGTCTCATCTACAACTCTAACCCTCAACATCAAACTCTAGAACCTTAGCTTGAGGCTCTAGTTTGGTCTTCTAGTTTCCGGGGTATTACATATAGTAATTTGACATTGAAATTTGAGAGTTCATACTTTTAAGGTAGTATGTATATACGTATAGATATTCATATATAAATATAATCGATATATGTATCTATATATATAATAAAGGAGAAACATAGACAAGGTGATGTGGCGCCTCTCTATGGCCTGCCTCCATTTGCATTTTTATTTTTATTTTTTATTATTTAAATTAATTATTGTATTCTAAAATTAAATTAATTAATTTATTACAAATAATATTTTACTAATGGAGGAATATTTACAACAAAAACTCTTCACATTCTTTTTTTTATTTGTTTGTCTCCCTTCTAATCATAAAATGATAATATTATTTAACTTATTCATAATTAATGAATTATGAAACATGATTAGGAGTTTCATTATTATTATACTTGCAAAAAATTAATTGAAAAATAAAAATATTAATTTCATGATGCCATTTTTTTGGTATGTAACAATTTGTTTTCGTCGATGTTCTTTTTTGTTTGAAATATATTTATTATTTTTATGCAGTCATCAATTATTATAATTTTTGTTCACTTTTTTTTATTTCCACCCCTTATTTTTATAAATTTATTTTAAAAATAAAATCAATGCATTAAATGTGTAATAAAATTGTACATTTGAATTATTTATTAGTTATAACTCATGTCTCTTCACCTTACTTGTAAGTTTTAAACTTAAATATTATTCATAACTGTCGTATAACTTGCCAGAGTATAAGAGATCCTCAACTAAGTGGATCCACTAAGCTATGTTTAAAAAGCAATGAGGAATCATCTAAAACGTAGGACCCTTTCTTCCCACGTTAGCTACATGATTTATGAGGACTTTGAATTGTTTGAACTCGTCCCCATATCGGTGCTCAATACTACTTCCAATAATATAACTCAGCTCATATGTTTAAAAACATTTCCTCAACCTCAAACTTTGAGATTATTACTCAAAAGGTTTCTCTTAAAAGAGATCGTACTCAAAAACTCCTCATGAACTCTTTTGGTAATCGATGTTTCCTCTCATTTTAAATGTAAAAATATTTACTCTTGGGAAATACTTAGTTCCCATATATTCATTTTGAAAAATGAAACTCAACTCTCATCATCCTCATACTCAAGTACTCAAATCTTAAAACAAGTTCTAAAATTTTGCAAAAGACTTCTCAATTGACTCAAAAGAACTCCCTCAAACTCGACTGTTAACTCTATCTTGAATTTGAATTATAAATTATCAATATAAGAATTATGATTCATGATATGAAGGATCTCGTGATTACTAAACGTGATTTAGAATAGTAGAATCAGGAAGGGAAATCTATACTTTAAAAGACCTCAGACAGGGTGAACGACGGAAAAAGGACGGGGCAAGCAACCCTGGCACACTAAGTGGTGTGGTGCACTAGCCCCTAAACTTCAGAGACTCTTTTCTGGTGCACTGCTATCTCGGCATGCCATCCCCTACCCAGAAAACCCGACGAATTTTGCTTCTCAATTCCTGACCCTAAATCACCTTTAATCGATTGGTTTCTTCCAAACTCTCTTAGATTTGTTTACCCAACTTAATTACATGAAAATCTACTTGAAAACCCTCAAGAACAATACTCATTAACAATATCCTTGCCTCAAGAACTCAACCAAATTTCATAATTAAAGAACGAAAACAACACCAAGAACTTAAATTTCTCAATATTTATGGATAGATTCAATAACATAGATCATGATTGGTGTGAGGGCACTCTTGTTGCCCCTATTACCACTACCCTTCCTATTTTTAGGGCAATTTCTCATGAAGTTACCATTTTGTCCACTCTTGCAGCAACTAGTGGAGCCCTCATGACACGCTCCTGGATGGTTCCTACTACCCTTAGCACATACATGAGTCTAATTGCCTCATTTTTCCACACTACCTTGAGATTGTGTAGGTCTAGCTCTAAAGTTCTGAAAATTCTGATTCTTGAGCTCACCTTTGTTCTTCGATGCAGATGCAATAGAAGTTGGTGGAACAGGTCCATGTGGCTTTTGCTGAAAAGATGATTGGTTCGCATTGGACTTCTGCTGCCCGAACTCATTTCCTCTTGTCTTAGTATTCTCGTTTCGAAACTCTACTCTATCTCTCAACTTATCCTCCTCAACCAGCTGCACATGAATCATAAGTCTTGCTATGTCCATTTCTCCTATTAGCATAGTTTCCTTGCCTTCCTTACATGATAAGCCAGACAACCCAAATACAAATAGAGTCCTCATGCTCTTCATGTCAGCAACCATCTCCAGAGCATAGTGGAACTATTGAGTGAACTTGAGGCTATACTCATGCAAACTCATTGATTCCTGCTTCAAGTTAAAGTTATCTTACCTTTGCCTCCCTGAGATCATAGGAAAAGAAACGCCCCAAGAAGGCCTCTTCGAACACCGCCCAACTCACAATTGGTTCACCCTCTCTTCTTTCGTTGGTTGTACCAAACTTAAGCAACACCCTTCAGTTGGTATGCAGCTAGTCCCACACGCTTAGCATCTGCAATATGCATCACCTAAAACACTTTCTACAACTCTTCCACAAAGTTTTATGCATCCTCAATGACACTTGAAACGGTGAAGTATGGAGGTTTCATCCTTTAGAATTCACGGATCCTCGATGTATTAGCCACATCCTTTCAGTTCCCTCTTTGTTGCCCATCTTTGTTGGTCACAACTTAACTCAACATATGGATATCATCCTAGAACTCAACATTAGTGACCTCTACTTGGGGTTGACTTTCTGGTGCATTGGGAGATCCTTGATCCTGGGGATCAACATTCCTCCTAGCAAGACCACCTTCGATAGCTCTTCGTGGATGCATGATCTGAAAGATACGCCCAAGTAAGAATTAGAAAGAAACTTGATAGAGTTGAACTCTATCGCACAAAGGAGTATGAAAGAAGTGAGATAGTTCCTAAATAGTGCATCCTCATAATTATAGATGTGGCGCACTTCACACCGATAATAAGGACTCTGCAAACATGGCTTCATAGACACCCTAAGACTCTTGAACTCTATTTTCTAATACACAACTTTTCATGCCTTAAACCTACACCCTATACGTGTCTGGCACTCGAGAACCATCGCTAGCCCTAAGCAAGCCCTTGGCCAGGCTCCACTCTCAACGGAAGAATTACTCAAGAATAAATGAACTCAAAACAACACTTTAATCAATATGTTTAAAATAAATAACTCATAATATATTAGAACATTCACTGGCCAAAAGAAGGTATCTCAGGTCTTAAACATTAACAATAGAAATGAAAAGAATCCTCAACTACTACTGTCTATGAAGCCTCTAAAACATTACGATGGAACTTGGGAAAAGACCCACGATATCCTAATCAAAACTAAAAATTTAAATGGAACCCTCCGAAAGCAAGGAGGCTCACCAAAGCTAACTCGAACATTTGTGGTATCAACAAAGAGCATGTTGATGATCCAGATCTCCTATATCTGCATCATAAAATAATGCAAGACAAATTAAATCATTACATTTGATGTTTGAGCATGTATGGGGAACACTGAACATAATATTAAAGCTTGGACTTGGAAAGAATGAAACAATACTCACCTCATATCCACCCAACTCAACCTCACTCAAGGATATTCAAGTCAATACAGTAATAAAACAACAATAAAAAACGTCTAACCGACAACCATCACTATGAGCTATGTAATTATACAACGTCTAGCCACGCTGCTAGAACTGTCCTATAGCTTGACAGAGTATAAGACATCCTCTACTAATATGAAAGCGTGGCTTTCAGGTGAGACTATTCTTCAATTATTTCTAGTAAAGTTAATTGTATTATATGTGTTTTAACTTGAATGGAATTGGTTAAATGATTGGGGAAGTATGAAAATATAACATTATAATCGATGGGTTGTTACATGTGTTACTTTTATGTACTAGTAGGTTGGGTTTTGAATGGAAAGTAAGGGTGATCATTATTTGATTGATAGATAATTGTGAGCCAATCATTGGTTGATGATATGAAGAAGTTTGGGTTATGGTTGTCGCCATTGTTTGCCTAACCAATGACTTCGATCCTGAATATTATTACTTTGCTATCATATTACACCCTAATTTTTATTATAGTTAGATAAGTAATTAAATATTAGATGTATTGTATTATATGAATTTCATTAGAGTTTACATATCAGTTGGTATCAAGATTTAGGAAATTGATTATACATTTGAGTGTGTTTTTAAGTCTATGCTATACCTATAGTAATATGAGTATCTATAGACTCATTAACTTACACATTATATATATTTGATAAATTGAAAATGTTTAGAGGCATTGAGGAAGGGAAAAACATTGGTGAAGTAGCTTGCTCGACTTTGGTTCTTCGGTGGAGGTAGGTTATTACTTATTCAATGTGATAGATAAACTCTTAATAGTGATTGATAGTCATTCAGTGATATTGTGAATTTTCTATGTACTTCGCTGTTGTGGTTTGGATAATTCATGTGTTGTTGTGATTGGACTGTAATCCCAAAACCGCGAAAGCCATAATCTTGAACTTCTTCTATTAAAGATTTGCCTTGAATAAAAAAGGTTTAATGAAATATTGCAAATGAAGTTAAAAGTGATGATAACGAATAATAAATTAACAATATATTATGATCGGCTGCCACGAGCTAGCATAGTATTATTGGATCGGGTATCACATTCCAACATGATAGTATTAGATCGGGTGTCACGTTCTAACACGATATTATTGGATCGGGTATCACATTTCGACTTGACATTATTTGATTATGTTTCATGTACCGACACAATATTATTGGATCGACAGTCAAATTTTGGCATGGTAACATTAAAGGAAAACATATTGAATTAACTTAATGTACTGAATTCAAAGAACCCATTTCCCAAATGAATGTGGTGTAGAGATGGATAGACAGATAGAGAGATGGAGAGATGGAGAGATGGAGATTTGGATACATGGATAGATGGATGGATGGATGGATGGATGGATAAATAGATAAATAGATAGACATATAGACAGATAGACAGACAGACAGATAGACAGACAGACAGACAGACCGATAGACAGATGGACAGATGGACAGACAGACAGACAGACAGACAGATAGAGAGAAAGATAGATAGATAAATAGAGAGATAGAGAGATAGAGACAGATAGACAGATGGAGAGATGGAGATATGGATAGACAGATAGAGAGATGGAGAGATGGAGAGATGGAGATTTGGATACATGGATAGATGGATGGATGGATGGATGGATGGATGGATAGATAGATAGATAGATAGATAGATAGATAGATAGATAGATAGATAGATAGATGGATGGATGGATAGATAGATAGATAGATAGATAGATATATAGAGAGATAGAGACAGATAGGCAAATGGAGAGATGGAGAGATGGAGAGATGGATAGACAGATAGACAGATGGAGAGATGGATGGTTGGATGGATGGATGGATGGATGGATAGATAGATAGATAAATAGATATATAGATAGATAGATAGATATATAGAGAGATAGAGACAGATAGGCAAATGGAGAGATGCAGAGATGGAGAGATGGATAGACAGATAGAGAGATGGAGAGATGGAGAGATGGATAGATGGATGGATGGATGGATGGATACATAGATAGATAGACATATAGAGAGACAAACAGAGAGATAGACAGAGAGACAAATAGACAGATAGACAGATAGACAGATAGACAGATAGACAGATAGACAGATAGACAGATAGACAGATAGACAGATAGACAGATAGACAGATAGACAGATAGACAGATAGACAGATAGACAGATAGACAGATAGACAGATAGACAGATAGACAGATAGACAGACAGATAGATAGATAGATAGAGATGGATGGATGGATGGATGGATGGATGGATGGATGGATGGATGGATGGATGGATGGATGGATGGATGGATGGATGGATGGATGGATGGATGGATGGATGGATGGATGGATGGATGGATGGATGGATGGATGGATGGATGGATGGATGGATGGATGGATGGATGGATGGATGGATGGATGGATGGATGGATGGATGGATGGATGGATGGATGGATGGATGGATGGATGGATGGATGGATGGATGGATGGATGGATGGATGGATGGATGGATGGATGGATAGATAGATAGATAGATATATATAGAGACAGAGAAACAGACATAGAGACAGACAGACAGAGAGAGAGAGACAGAGAGACAGATAGGCAGATAGATAGATAGATAGGAAGGTAGATAGATATATAGATAGATAGACATATAGATAGATAGACAGATAGATAGAAATACAGATAGATGGATAGATAGATAGATAGGAAGGTAGATAGATATATAGATAGATAGACAGATAGATAGAAATACAGATAATGGATGGATGGATGGATGGATGGATGGATGGATGGATGGATGGATGGATGGATGGATGGATGGATGGATGGATGGATGGATGGATGGATGGATGGATGGATGGATGGATGGATGGATGGATGGATGGATGGATGGATGGATGGATGGATGGATGGATGGATGGATGGATGGATGGATGGATGGATGGATGGATGGATGGATGGATGGATGGATGGATGGATGGATGGATGGATGGATGGATGGATGGATGGATGGATGGATGGATGGATGGATGGATGGATGGATGGATGGATGGATGGATGGATGGATGGATGGATGGATGGATGGATGGATGGATGGATGGATGGATGGATGGATGGATAGATAGATAGACAGATAGACAGACAGACAGACGGATAGGTAGATACACAGACAGACAGACGGATAGATAGTGTCACACCCCTTTTTTCCCTCAAAATTTATTTAAGTATGTTTTGAAAGAAAAAGAGTTATTCCAATTAAAATGACATTTTGAAAAGGAATTATTTTGTTATTCAGAGTCGCCACTTGGAATTGAGTTTTGGTGTTCCAAGTCACCTTATTATTTAAACCCCTAATCTAAAGGAAATTTGACTCTTTATTTTTATTGGTCTGCGAAAACAAAGATTGGGTAAGGAATTCTGTTGACCAAGGGGAAGGTATTAGGCACCCCTCGAGTCCCGTGGTTCTAGCACGGTCGCTTCATTGACTATATATGACTTAAATTAATTTTTGGATATTGTATTATTAACTTAATAATAAAAGTTATTTACCTCATTATTTGATTTATTTTAAATCTATTTATATTATATTAATATATGTTCGTTAATTAATAAAAATGTATATCACATAAATTTATTCAAACATAATAAAGTAAAGTTAATAGATTGATATTTACAAATCTTGAAATGTCTTGTAATTTCTTTTCTTCTCCTTTTCTTTTTCATGTATTTGTATTTATTTATTTTTATTGTAGATAGAAAATATATAGGTATATAATTGCTAGGAATTAGAATTTGTGTAGGATTGAGATTTTTGAGTTTGAGTATTTTAGGATTGTATTTTTTTTTTTAGTTAGATTTAAAATAGAAATAAAATTTTATGTGATTTGGAATTAGTTTTAGCAAGAAATTCTAAATAGATTAGGACTATTTTTAGAAAGATTTTTTATTTTCTTGATTTTTAATTTCTTCCTTCTTTCTTTTTCTTACTTTTTTTTTCCCCTTTTTTACGTTTTGGTTTTATTAATTTATATATATATATATATTTTTTTTTTTTGTCTCTTTATATTATATTTTTTATTTTTACGTTTTTTTAATTTTTTTTTTTCTTTCTACTTTATCCTTTATTTTATTTTTTTATATATTTTTTATTCTTTTTGGACACTCTATTTCTCGTCTTCTTCTTTTTCTTTTTTTTTATTGTTTATTTTTTTTTATTGCTTTAATCATCTTTTTTTGTCTTACGTTTTCTGTTTCATTTTTCTTTATTATTATTATTTTTTGTTCTTCTTACTTTTTGGTTTTAATTTATTTTTGTTTCTGTTACGCTCTATTTTTTTTTATTATTATTCTTTTCAGTTTGCGTTTGTTCTGTTTTTATTTTATTTTTATTTTTTTCTTATGCTTTCTCATTTTTTTTAAAAATTAGTTTTTCTTAATTATTCATTATTTATTTATTTTTACCATAAATCTCTAAATAAATATTCATATATCCTCTTAATTATATATCTTAATAATTCGAATTAAAGTGATAATCATCTTAACACTTAATCTAAAGGCAAA